TGTTGATTATACGTTATAGTGGTTTAAAAACAACAAAATTGTTATTTAAACCTATCTGAAAACTCATAACTCAGGTAATGAAATCTCCCAAAAATTGAAAGTGAAATATAGGGGTGGAAAATTTCCGGTAAATTTCTGGAAACTTTCCAAAAATCCCTGGAATATTCCAAAAAATCCAGGAAAGTTTCAAAAATTTCTGGAATGTTTACGAAATTTACTGGAAATTTACTAACTTTTTGCAACCCTAGAAGGTTTTTTTTTTTTTTATCAAGACACTGGTATGTGCATTGAGCATGCATTTATTTTTGGGGGTTGACGATATTATGGGATATTGTGATATTTTTTTGCCGATTATCACTGAAATATTTTTTACATGTTGTTCAGCACTAATGTGCACCACTTGTGTGTTCTTGAGGAAGCTTAGTTGAGGGATTCTTCTTCAGTAGTGATTCTCTGTTTAATTGACCAGCAATCACTTGCTATGACTTGTTTGGTGTTCTTTTATTTCCAATCACGTTTGATGACACAAGAATCGAAAATGTAGCTCTCATTTGTAGTGTATGTGGTTGCAGTGTCTCAGTTTTTGTCTTGGTGTGCGTAAAATAATAACAGCGCAGGTTATAAGGTGGGATACAATTCATGAAATAACAGCCAGCATCCAATGCAGCAAATGTTCAGGCCTCTGATCTCTGCTAGACATGAGAGAGTATCGGACGATTAAAGCCCCGGGGGAAATAACAGAACATCCAACAAAATGAAAAGGCAGGGAATGTAATTATGAATGCAATAATTCAAAATGAAGCATTTATATATTATAATAAATGATAACTAACCTTAATACGAATTAATACATGTATAAATAATAAAATGACAGTGAATAATAGAAAAAGTAATAAATGCACAACACAATTTATTTGAATGTTTTATATAAATGTGTGTATATATATCTGCCCTGATCCAGAACACAAGAAATCTCTCTTTAGTTTTGTAGCATCACAATGGAGCAGGTTCAGTCTCTTCATCTCCTGCTTGTTTTGCAATTTTGATTTCCATCAAAAATTTAATCATAAGTGTTTTAGGGCTCAGCGCTGGCCTGCGTGCTGCCTTGAATTTCTAATTTTAGTCTATTCTTTCAGGATTAATTTTTTGTATAATTCAACTGTGCTTTTCAATATCTCCCAGTTATTAAATTTTAATTCCGAGATCATTAGCATATAAATTGAAAAGGGTTTTTTGAGTTGCCCACTCAGATTAAATTTAAGAGGAGATATTTATGTTTTCACCACTTCCATTTAAATGTAAAATAGTAAAAAGAAGAAAAAAATACAAACAAAAAATATATATTTTTTTTCATTTTTTTTTCCAGTGTTTTTCATGACGTGAATGTGTCAGTCAGTGTGTTCTGGTTCAAGGAAACTAGGGCTGGCAGCCTAATCTCTTCCAGTCATCTCCTGAAATAGCCTGAGAGTAATACATTCTCATTAGATGATAGTGTTGAAATTCTGCTCATAGTTACCACAGTTCGGAGCTGGTTTGCAAAATGAATCGGTGAAAGAACGTACCTGTGCACACTAATGATGCCTCCTGGCTCCGCTTCTGATGGACATAACTGTAATTAAGAGGTGCTATCCACACTGTACTTTATTTTACTTTTGATGCAAGAAATATACTGACTTTTGATAATGTACATTTAAAAAT